CAAATTGAAACGAAATGAGTATATTCAGCTGCTGATGCTCAACTAGAGTATATCAGCTGTAGGGGGTATAGACTAACGTCTATTTCACCCACATGATAATAACTTTCGCTACACCAATATACCACGCTTACACACATGTAATATCCCCAAACGCTCAACAAATCATAAAATATAACCTACACGATTTTTGTAGATCATTTAAGCACCTCAACGGGGCCCAACTCGAATCCTTTATTAGCTCAAATATTGCGCCTTAAAAGTGATTTATACAAATTTTGAAGTTTCCTTTGGGTCAGACTAACAAAAGTTTGATTTATTATTATTTTTAAGTTTTTTTGTGCTGAGACTAAGGCACCCGAGTCTATGACAACTTTTACTCATTTGACAACAATTTCACTGGCGTTGCATGTCGATCACGGAGACACTTGCAAAGTGGACAAATGCCGACATGGTCCATTCCAATGGTTTATACCACACATATAGTCGCCATCCTCCCGCCTCTACCCTAGACATCCAGTGGATCGCCGTCCAACTGGTATTTGGCAATTTGAGCATGCAAAAATGATTTTATTGTTGTAGGAAAGTCAATGCAAGACACTGGGAAAACTCAGCAACTGCAACTGCAGTCAGTACGTCATGTCCGTGTCAAAAAGCTGGCCCCGGGCGATCTCGCGGCCAAATATTAGCACACAATTCGATTTTGCATGCCATGGCAGGTAGTAAAGTTTTACGAGTGCAAGTGGTGCTGATTGTGGTGGTGCTGATGGTGGTGGGGGTTGGTGGCTGCTGTGTGCTTCATGACTCTCGATTTGGTGTCGGGGCCAGCATCTCCTGGGTTTTATCCACATCCACAGCCGTATCCACATGGCCATGACCATAGCCAGCTGCGCTTTTCGCTTTCACCTGTTGGCCGCAGTTATGTAAAATCTACTGGTGATTTATGGTGATTTATATTAATGGTGATTTATATGTGGACCATAATGTGAGCTTGATGTTTATAGGCATGGTATATGCATTTGAGCATGCAAATAATGGCGTGTATGAGTTTTACAGTTAATGTTTAAGATAGTCCGAAATGACGAAAAATGTCTGAATACTTTTGGGATTTTAGTAAATCTCACTAAAGGAACTCTTTGGTTTATCGAAAAGGTAAGATGTGAGTCTACTGTATGATCGAGTCCCCATAATTCGAAAGGGCAAGAAAATTCAAATTATCGAAAAATATCGAGAAGGAACTTTTTCAGTGACTAAAACTTAATATCTATAACTAGTTATCCGACTGAATGGAAAGTGTCTGTTTTCGATCCCATTCCAACCATCTAACAAAAATATAACATAACAAAATTAATCAGTTGTAAGAAGCTCATTCTTTATTTTTATTTGTTATAAACTTTAAAAAAGAAACTGTGTGAACACTCGAAAAATTCTTGTACAGAATAAGACATAGATGAAAATGTAAACTTTGGCCAGCTATCCATCCCACTCAAAAATTGATGGGGAAAAAGTTTAGCTTGAACACAGTTTTTGTTTTAAGGGAAACCTAGACGGTTCGATCGTCTCGCTCGCTCGCTCGCTCGCTCTCTCGATCGATTTGGTCTAGGGTAAGACTTTCAACTAAAAGCATTTCTTTCCGCTTACAACATGACGGGCAATTTGTCGATGTTGTTGCAGTTGTTGTTGTTGTTGCTTTTGGTTGTTGTGGGATTTTTAACATTTGTATATATATATATGGGTTTTTTTTTAATAACCATTAAAAAGTCACTTCACTTTCACTACCAATACGCATTCCTAGAATTCCGTTTGCAGCTGGGTGCAGCCAATAGTGAAGCAACTGCTTCTTGATCTCGTTTAAGATCCTCAGGTCCGGTCTTATAATATGCATTGCAGCTATTCATCTTATAATTCTGCAACTTGTATTGATTGAGTAAAAACGATGTCTCCGACTTGTTGACAACCATCACATTGATCCAATGCTGATTTGCCATAAATTTATATTTGGTGCAACAATCTTTTTTTTTCTCAGATTGTTTCAGGGGCTTTCGAATCGAACTATCAGATATGGTATAACTTAGCCGTCGGTTCGAGTGTTTAGGGCATTCATCATCGATCGCTTCGGAAGTATTACTTAGCTTAGCATTAGTGGTCCTACAGTCTCTGGACTCGTGGTCGTTTTCATTACTTAGCCATTTCACCGAGCGCATTAAATCGACCAGACTTTGCAAGTTACTTGACTCAGTGTCATCCGAGCTGCTCGCTCGTTCAATTGTGCTATCTGAATAGAGTGTATCTAGTGAGTCCGATGCCAGCAGATCCTCCTGTTCGCTATCTTCTCCCGAACTATCGCTTTCGCTATTATAGCGAATATCGATTGAACTCGATGTATTTGGCTCGTATTGCTCGGATTTCAAGCTTAGATGTAGACTCTCTGTCTTCCACTTCCTATGTCTGTGGGCTAAACTTGTTCTAGCAAAGCTATCATCCTCAGAGGCATATAAACGGCCGCCAGGTGGCGTCTGATACTCCAATCCCTCGTTCTCCAGCATATCTTGAATCAATTCCTCTGTCAATGGTATAAGACGTTGATTCTTCTTGCGTCGTTGTTCACTTGGCAGCATAACACTAAAATTTTGATATAATAAAAAAAAATTTTGAGATAAACTAATGCCGAAAATCTATACATGTGACCCAGAGGCTGATTTTTTTTTTTGTAGACTGTTCAACTGGAACGACAAAGCATATAATGAAGTTTACGACATGGCTTACATATTTGAGTTTCTTTTTTTTTTTTAATAAATGTCTAACTGAGGTTATGACAATAGGATGGGATCTGTGCAAGAGTTTGGAAAATCAACGTTATAAAATGAATTTGAATTTGTATACTATAATAATATAATATAATAAATAAAATAATATTAATATTATTGTAAAATATTTGGATTATAAGCAAACGGCATTCACGCTTTTTCATTTGCTTTGAAAACACTTTCAACAACATTTTTTCCATTATTTAATTTGTTTTCGTTTTAAGTATTTGTTTGTTTTTAGTGACTTGTTCCATCATGATTACCTACATGAAGAAGTTTTTATTCTGCATCCCCCTGCGGGTGGGCAACATTTTCATTGGTTACTTTTGCCTTGTGCGCGGCTTTTGCAATATTTATTTGGTAATATATCTGTTCTCAAACCTCTGTAAGCGCATGATCTGGGTATGGTTTCTGCAATCGCAGGTAAATTGCATTGCTGGCGTTCTTCTGCTCGCTGTCACCTTCCAGGTGAGTGATTAATCGCAGTTGAGAACCGAAGTATATATATACTATATATATATAAATATCTGACACAGCCTCATCTGCTTAACTATATGCTGCCCATACAAATTGTTGTTAAACTGACCAGTTGTATTATCGAATTGGTATTCTACCTATTGATGAGTAGTTCTGGTCTCTCATCTCCGTTGTTGGTCGGATACTCTGCGGCCTCGATTATTGGTAAGTCGAAAGAAGTATTTATTGATTGATGGTCAAATTTACATTCATTTACAGTTAATATGTATTTTGTGATTGTTATTTTCTCCTTCTATCATGAGACGGATCATAGATAAGACTGCGGAGCTCTTCGCTTTGCTCTTATCACAGCCAACAGAAAAAGAAAACGAAGAAGTGGAAGAAAAACGGTAGTTCGTACGGTCAACGTCAGCGCGAACTTAATCACAGCGTGTAGCATTTTGTGCCGTGATTAAACGCAAATTTATTAGGCAAGTGTTGCGCAATTGCTGGAAAAGAAAACTAAAAACTTCAAGTCGAGCGCATAAATCGTGCGGGGCCAATTGTCACCAGGCTCCGATGCGGACTACCAAACTGCAGCTAGAGGCTTCAACTTGCGGCGACTATTGGCTTAATTATCGTCGCACCGTTGCGCTACATGCGTGCTAATTGAGTGCGGCCAGCCAATTGACCAACTGACCAACTGAGTTGGAGCTGCAGTTGCAGTAGGAACTGGAGCTGGAGCTGGAGCTGGACATGGCGTCGATGTCCACGTCCTGCTATGATAACAACAACGCGACGACAAACGCACGCTGTGCCCCAAAATGAAAATTATGTTGCAATCCTCTCTCAATGCCCAATGCTCAAGTGTCTGTCTGGTGGCCAGAGTCCCACACACACACACACACACACTCCGCTGGCTCACTGATCGGTGGGGGCCTTAATTAATTTCGTTGATTAATTGAAAGTGCGCCTTGACTTGGTTGCTTTAGTTTTATTTATTTTTTTGCTTGCAGCCTCTTATCTGCCTGAGCTGTTGGCAGTGCAAAGTTGAAGGCAAGTATGAAAAATGTTGCAACAAAAAACAGCAACAAAAACAGAAACCAAAACAGACATGTTCGGGCTTGTTGCTGGTCTTTTTCGGTAGTATGCTGAGGGCGTGGCCGTGGCTGCAACCCTTTGGCCCATTACTCTTAGCCCGGCCGAATCGATTATTGCAAAAATTATGTCTGACCGCAGGGTAAGGGCCGCAGCAGCAGCAGCAGCAGCCGCAGCAGCTTTAGTTACAATCACAATTACAATTCGATAATGTTCAATAAATTTGCTGTTGGCTTTAAGCTTTACTTACAGTTACCTAATTGGTTTTATATATATACATATGTATATGCATGTGCATAAACATGTATAGCTGCATGCCTAAACTGGGCGAAATGCTTACATTCTGTTTGTTTATAACTGTAGATAATTATATGTGTGTGTGGCAAATATAAACTTGCTTTGTAAACGAATAATCTGGCCCTTTTATTTAATGTTTAGTTGCTTTTGGATAAGCTACAATGCTTTTTGGAATGTGGAGCAAGGAACCGGCAAAAAAATACTCTATAATTGTATTTGATGTGATGTCCGCAGTAAAATTTCCCTTCAGCTGGAAAGCCTAAAGATCTGAAAATATATAATATTTGAATATATACATATTTGGCAGCATTAAAAGTTAAATCAATCTACAAATCCTTTTAAACTGCAGCCTAGAGATAGTTATCATTAAAATATTTACTTAAATATATGTAAATACCAAAGTCATCCACAAAAATTGGAAAAAATTTTTTTAAAATTTATTTATTGTTGTATATATATATATATATTTAAATTTATAAAGCTCAATAATAATATTGCCCGATTTATAAGCTTTATTAATTCGAATTGCCATTCATTCTATGCTTTCGTTTGTTGCCTACTCAAGTATTTTAAATATTTCGCTTTAGGCTTTGCACTATGGTCAAAAAGCCTGAATTTTTGGCATAAAATCTAATTTTTAAGCTAGAGTAAGTCTTCAAATTTCACATATATATTTGTTAATTTATAAAAGAATTTCGGAATATTTTTTTTTTTTTTTTTTTTTTTTTTTTTTTTTTTTTTTAGACAACATTTACACTCTTCCAGAAAAAAAATATTAATAACTTTTTTTTTTATATTATATAAGGAAAGAAAAAATGCTGGAATAATTTTTATTTATTTTATTGTAATTTAAAGCTTAAGAAATGATCAATACTTTTAGGCCACGTTTCAGCGCTATGTTTAATTAGCCAAGTTTTAGGCAAAGGCTGCAACTCACGAGAGTTGAATTATTTGTCAAAATGGACCACGGAAATGGCTCATGCTGATTGTTGTTATTGCTAACGTGACATTTGCAATCAGAGCAAATGCAGGAGCCACGCACCGCTGTGTGGCAAGTGAATGGTGCAGGTAGCGACAGGTTGCCCCCACCCGAATGACAACTGTAACTGCAACGGCAATCCCGATCGCAACTATATACAACTGCAACTGCAACTGTATTTGCAGCTTCAATTCCAATTGCAAGCAGCTATGCAACGTAGGTGGCACTTGGACACATTTTTGAAATGCGCGCCCGTTGGCCAATTGTGAAACTTGGCCAATTGACTAACTGGCCAAGTGTCAAACTTGCCAAATTGAAAACGAAGTTACGATGCGGCTGCCGATTTGTTTATGCACCCTGCGCAAGCTCAACTGATTGCAGACATTCAGATACACTATGATTGGGCATATGCATACACGGCTATGATATGCGATTTGACTCTTTTTGCATCCTTTAATAGGATATGGTAATCTATAAGATTTGAGTCAATATGATACAAATTTAATTAGAGCTTGTAGTGAAGCCGGGAGAACTCTTATAAATATATAAATGTTTTTTATTTAATTATTTAAAATGAAATATAATTATATTTGAATAATCTTCATATTATACCAAAAAAATTTTCACTTCGCAATAATTCGATTGTGATTAATATTTTGATATATTAAAAAAAAATAAAAACAAAAAACAATTTTATATTTTATATATATATTTTTTTTTTGTTGTATTTAAAATTATAATATACACAAATTATTTTATATATATTCTTCAAAATTTTAAGACTCAGAAATTGATTTAGCATTTTTGTTATATAAGAAATCGATTGTTATTTCTGCCTATAAATAAAAAAATAGGTAAATATAAATTTATACTGTTTTTTTTTTTTTTTTAATTTTTATTAAGAAGTTTTCGGTAGATTGGAAAAATTATCTGAAATATTTGTTAAACGTATTTTTAAGGGTATTAAAAACTCCATTTTACAAAGGTGAAGCTTCGTATATATTTATATTTTATTATTTATATTTCTTATTTTAATTTTTTTTTTATTTGTGCTTTTAGTTTTTTTTGCTTTTTGTATTTTAAATTTAATGAAATATTACGCGCACGTGTCAACAGAGCGATAAAATTTATTTACGCAGCACTGCGGGTCAAGTGAAAGCACAATTTGGTTGGCATCTCGGGAATTCAGACGCTGTGGCAGACCTTCAAATTGAATTTACGCCGCATTGTGGTAAAGGGGGATCAGTGCCAAAAAATTGAAATCGAAATCGAAATGTAAACCTGACTGCTATAAAAATGGGCGTAGGGCAGCCGCACTGACACGCGGCCATATTTTAAATGTCAACAGGCGGCGGGTACCGTTGTCCCCGTACCGTACGAAGATCGTGCAATCGAAGATCTGGCGGCAGCTACTGCAGCTCTCTGCAGCCAAGGATGCTGTTCGCCTTGTCCGTGTGCATCAAAAATTCAATAAAATACCATTAAATTACAAAATGAAGACAATTCATTTGGGGTTTTTTTTTCTCGTCGTATGGTTTGGCTCTGGGGCAGGTCTTCTTCATGTTTTCTCTTCTTCTTCTTTATTTTTGGGAGGGATCGATTTCTGTGTGTGCGTGTGTGTGCTGGGTTTATTATGCGCTGCATTTTGTATCTTTAAGCAGCGGCATTTAATGTCGCTTTGCAGTTATAAGCAATAAAATATGAAAATCTGCGCTTATAAATGTTGAAAACGACATTTATCGTAATATTTTATGAAATCAGTGAATATTTCGGTTAATGGTTACGACAACAACAACAACAATACCAGCAAATGCGTAGACAATGCAACATTACTGTTCAAGTATCCCAAAAATTGACTTGCAATTTCATTCATTTTATGCCTTGGGTTTCCATGAGCAGCTATTGATTGATTGATTAGATTTGCTAATTCAATCCATTATGATATCAAGTTGATTGGCTCGACAAGGTCAATAGTTTGGCTTGGATTTCAGAATTGTTTACTAGGAATTGCAAATAGAAATGGATGAGTACAGGTTAAAAATAATAATAAAAAAAAGTCTAACTATAAAATATGAATATATAAACAATATATATAATACTGGGATAGACATATGAACAACAAAATTTTTTTAAAGGTATTTTTGCTTTTTCACTTACAATTTATAAGAAGTACAAATTAGGAAAAATCAAGAAAAGTTGAACTATAAAATATGAATATATAAACAATATATACAATGCTAGGGATACATAAAAAGAAACATATTTATTTTGTATTTAATTGTCTTCTTCTTGCTTTTTATTTATAATTTTAAATTGGTATATAAAACTGGGATATATGAAAAAAAAAAAACGTTTTTTAAATTTTCATTGCCTTCTCATTTATAATTTATAATTAGTACAAACTAGAAAAAATCAAGAAAAGTCGTACTATAAAATAAAAATATATCAAAAATATATATAATACTGGGGATACATGAAAGGAAGCATATTTATTTTTTTTTTTAATTTTCTCTGGCTTTTTTTTATAATTTATAATTAGCATTGCATAATTTTTCGCCGAATCAGTGAAAAATAGATAACATTAAGTTCTGAGTAAGACTCTGGTAAGACATTGTTGTGGGGTGTTAAGGTAAGCGCGACAAGGCCATCAACGGGATTAGTTAGGGAGCATAAAACAATCGTTTTGCAGCCGCAACGCCCACAACAGCCATGAGAGAGAACTACGCCTATAACATACATATGTATGCATAATTTTTAGTGCTGCGAAAAACCTCATAAATATGTGGCCATTACGACGCTGCGACTAATGGCCCGGCCTAAGCGTTCCATGCAGTGGTGGGGCTGGGGCAGTCAATGCGAACATTACAGGTGGGTTGCCTGGCCTACACAGAACTACTCGTAAAGCTTGACGTTCGGCTGAGCAACTACTGCCGCGGCTGCAAGTGCTCTGCGTGCTGTTGCTCCTGATGGTGGTCATTAGGACAATTTCAGCCACAGCTCCAGCTCCACTGAAGACGCACACGCAGTTGAGTGATGCGCATTGGGGTCATTTGTGTCGGTGATGGGGCGTCACTTGGAGGCCGGGGCTAATTTCCATAATGTTCGCCTGGCCACTAGAACAGTTCATTCACTCGGCAAACAAAGCGAGCTGCATGCGAGTAATTTTGGTGCTCGTAATCTGGGCAGCTCACATGTACATCTGTTCTCTCTGTGTGTGTGTGTATGTGAATACAAAGCCGCTTAAGTGAATGCCAGGTCTTAACACCTACCGGCCAACAGGTAAAGTTTACTGTCCAGTTTCAAACATATTCTTCTCGCTTCACTTGTTGGCAATGGCAATTTAATGGCTCAGCAATTGCTGACCCGTCGCTCGCTACAAAGTGGCCGTTGGCTCTTGCACTGCACTTGGCTTCGGCTCTCTGATATCTGGAACTAGGGAGTAAATAAAAAAGCGAGAAAAAAAAAAAAACAAAGCACTATTCAGCTTCGATCGAGCGTTGTCGTTGTCTTTGCCAGCGCAACATGAGTATGATTTATAGTAGTTTATGCGGCCAAGCCGAGTGCAGCTTCTGCATAGTCTCTGCGCCCAAATCGTAATTCGTAATGTTCGTTAGCTTTGGACCTAAGGATGGCCGCGTGATTCGCTTTATTTCAGATGACATGTCGTGATTGTGGCGATGTAAGTCGTGATTGTGATTAGAGGGAATTGGATCGAGTAAAATGTGAGCTAAATCAGAGGAATTATTAAGAAGAAGTGGAAATAAAGTCTTCAAGTACTTCTCAGTGTTGAAAATGAAATGTAGTAGAAACTGGAATATGAATTTCCTCTTATCAATCATAATTACAATTTGTTTAGAAGCTCTGTTAGTATTTTGGTATTTTAGTATATTTTTATGGAACTTTTTGGGCATACTCGATATCGATATCGATAAAAATCTAAAACTGTTACTTCTTTAATGGCTGGTCTCATTCAGAGTGGCGGCTCCTGAGGCCAATATGCAATAAAATACAGCTTTGACTTATTTTAGATTAGTAATAGATCCCTAGTAATAGATCTCAATAAATCTCAGAAACATTTACCTCAAGTTTCGCAAAGTAAATCTGAGCAGAATCTGAATTATACTCTTCAAATTAAATTTCTTATTGGTATTCAAATAATCTTCTCAGTAATTTATATTATACTCGAAACATTGCGTGACTTCCTACTTTTCATCTATGTATGTTGTTCCATCTCCAATTGCAATCGTTGTCTATGGCTCTTTATGTGTATCATTTTTCATGCCTGCAGCATGGATTTAGCATTATTGTATTTTATATTATTTGTGCTTAATTTGCCGAGCGGGCCATGCACCTGATTTCCTGAATGTTGTGACTATGCAGTGCAAAGAGAGAGAGAGAGAGAGGGAACGATTTTCGATTGTGGCTTTTGCCAACGGGCAGCATCTGCATATACATACATATACTCTGATCCTCTTCGTGCTGGCAGACAAGTTCGTTAATTTGACGCTCGCACCTCGTTCGCATAAATTTCGCCAAGTGCCAGGCGGTCGGTCGGGGGTTTCTGGGGCGGCTGGCTAGGGGGTGTGGCAGCAGCTATGGTACCTCTTCTTCGTCTGTCAGGTCAGGTTTGGTGGGCAGTGGCTGGTGGTGCTTGGGCTATTAGCGCACAATGCCAACGCCTGGGCCGCCCACACTCCACAGCCGTGGCCGCCACTCCACTCCGGCTGCAGCTTCCAGCGCGTCTTAGTCCTCAGTTTATGGTTATGCGGCGTTCCTTTTGTCAATTTCCAGACATTTGCCTTTAAGTGCGGCTGGGCCAGAGATTTATGTTGTGCCGTTGTCATTTTAAGTTAATGGCCTGTAATTCTCTCCCTCTCACACGCCATCTCACTCTGCAGTACTTCTTCCTCGCTCTCTCCCTCTTAGAGTTTTCATAGCTCTTTGCTTAACCTGACGATCGTTGCTTGGCCGGCAAGTGCAGGTGAATTTTTGCGTCTAGGCAGCTAGTTGAATTTATGATTCGACTTTTAAATTGGTTTATTGCAATTTCCGCAGCATACACCCACACACACACACACATACGCACACACATGCAAGCTCGAAATTCGTTAAGCACTTGCTCAGAATTCGAATGCTATCGACAGTTTCGTGTCTATCGAGCGTAATGTCCAGCTGATCTTTAAAATTGCCAACGGCCAGCACTGATTCTATTTCAGCTTTTTTTTTCAAAGTCAGATGAGGGAAATATTAAGGAAAATCCTGTATTTGATCATATATAGGTATGTTTAATATGTTGCTTGTATAATCTCTTTATATAAACTTTTTCCAAGTAAGGAATAAATATGCAGAGTTTTACAGTAAAGCTCCATTTATAAATACTAAGAAGGCTAGGTAACTAACTGCACCGTTAGCATTAAGCTGAACGAAAAATACATAATTTGACCAATGGACGAAGAGAAATTTCAGAAATTCAGACATAATTTGCATGCCTACAGAATATTTCTAGGTATTTACATATTTTATGTTGCAAATCAAATTTCGGAAGGAAAAACTCCATACGAAATTGCTTAAATACAAACAACTTTATACAACCTTTATGTATATAAGACGATTTAAGAATTTTGTTATTACTTACAGTCAGCCGTACTTTTCATTCCTAATAGGTACTGCCTATACGATTCAGTTACATATTTCACTAGCGTCACATTGCTAACAGATCGCTTTGCAATAAATAAGGTCCAGTCCAAAGAAACGTAGGCTCTGCAGCTTTGAACCGAAACTTTATCGAATTAGCTTATGTTATCGTCCGCTCCTGCCTATCGATTACAAAGTCCCAGCACTGCTACTGACAGTTCTGCTTTTATGTAAACTTTGCTGCTTGTCAAAAAAATACAGACGACAGCTGGAGAAAATAATTCATTTGAAAGCTACAATCAAATCATCTGTGTCTATTTGGATAATTTTCGTATTTTGTCTTTCGACTAATTAAAAATCAACCAAGAGGAAATGAAACGTCACAATGCGAAGGCTATTGCAGCGGCTGTTGCTATTGCTGCAGCAGCTGCAGCCTCCGCCGAGGGCAAAAAGAAAGCGGACACCAAGCTGACTGTCAGTAAGTCGACGCTCTACGTGGATGTGGTCAAGAATATGGTCCGGCCGGAGAGCTCGCCACCGGCGACACCGCCGCCGCCGCCAAAGTTCACCATTTTGCGTGAGGATTTCCCAGCTCTGCCGGGCACTCAAGACGATTTGCGTAGCAACAATAGTGCCACCGTGCCGGATGACTGGACGGCCATCATCAGTGACGATGACGACGTTGGCAACAACAACAATAATAATGATGATGCTGTTAATGATGATGTTGAGGTGTCGCAGCCGTCGCCGTCAACACCTTCACCTCCAACACCGTCCCCACCAACGCCTTCGCCGGATAGTGTTAGCGAGCCGGAGTCGGTGCCGGAGTCGCTGCCGGAGTCGGTACCTGAGCCGGAGTCGGGGCCTGAGTCCGATTCGGTGCCGGAGCCGGTGTCGGTAGCTGAGGCAGTACCGGAGCCTGTGCCTGAGCCCGTGGCTGAGCTAGTGCCTGAGCCGGTGCCGGTGTCCGTGCCAGATTTGCTCATCGAGCTGCACAGCAGCGCCGAAAGCAGCAACAGCAACAACATCAGCAGCAGCAACAGCAACAACATCAGCAGCAGCAGCAGCAGCAACAACAACAGCAACAGCAGCGGCTGCAAGACCAACTCCAACTCCAGTGAGCATGAAACGGTGCAGCCAGAACTGCCGGCGGTGGCTCATGTGGCCGCCACCACCGATTTCTATGGCAGCTCCTGCACTCCGGGGACCGAAGTGTATCCGAAGATAGTGAGGTACGTGAAGAGCACCATCTTCGACACGCAGTTCCTGCTCGTGGGAATGCGTCAGCGTGCGTGGTCGCGGCAGAGGAGTAGCAATGCGATGTCGAACGTTGAGCCGCCGCCTGGGTTCGAGAATATCAAATTCTATAGTCGCTTGCGCACCAATCGCTTGGGCGTGCCGCTGGGCGGCGTGACCCTTGACGTAACGCCGCCCCAGGCGAATAGCAGGCGCTCGGAGCGCTCGAATGGCACAAGCATGGAGGGCGCCTATGGCTTGGCCGGACTGGCTAGCAACTTGGCGGCGGCACAGCAGCATCCGCATCTATTTTCAGAGATCTTCGGACATGAGCCGGCGGGTCTGAATGTGGATGCGCACTGCTGTGCCTGTGAGGCGAACAAGCTGCACGCCAGTTTCGCCGGGCCGCTGCAGGGCGGTCGCTGTGCTCCGCACGAGGTGAACTACGATATACCGTCGTACTATCGGCGCAATAGCGAGGATGATCTGGCGCAGCCAAAGATCGAACAGATGGAAGTGGAGCTGCTGTTCTTCTTCTTCTACACATATCCGGGCGACATGATGCAAATGCTGGCCGCTGCCGAGCTGGCCGAGCGCGGCTGGCGTTTCCACATATACGAACGTCTCTGGATTCGACGCCAGGCCGACAATCCCCACTACATCGTGTGCGATTATCAGGAGTGCGGCGAATACAACTACTTCAACATGGTGCACTGGAAGATCATGGCTCGTCACTTCGATCTGCTGCCCGACCATCTGGAGCGCACCATAACCAAGGTCGAGCTGCGCGATCAATACGGCTATCATCCGCAGATGGGGTGAGACTACCTAACTACATGGCAGTTGGCCATTCATCACTAATCCGAATGTCTTTTTTGTCCTCCTCCTCACACACACACACACACACACACACACACACACATACACCTAACAGCTTCTGAGACGGGCGGCCAATCAAGTATTGATCCTTGGCGCGGCGATAGACGACGCATTCTAGTCGAGCCCAAGGCTCAAAGGAGAGCCAATTCCAACTTGCTCCAAGCACAATACATCTGCATCGATTATACATATACATTCATATACGTATATACATATGTAATATATATTATATAAACATGTATATTTATATATAGCTACATATGTATGTATGTATATATAGTTTTTAAAATATCATTCAAAATTAATAGTGTTGCTGTTGTTGCTGCTGCAAGTTCTTATTCATGATCAGATGATATATAACTGAGTTAGTTTTAAACAATTCTTTGACCAAGGCTCTGATTGATAGACACATAGGCCACAAATACAAATACGAATGATTCTCACTCCATATACACTAGAAGATTATATATCATATATATCATACGAAATAGATACATATATATACATACATACAGATGATATATAATTGAATTGGTTTTATACATACATACAAGTTATTGATCAATAGATAGGTCAGCATACACGAATGATTCTCACTCCGAATACACTTGAAAATTCTATATCATAGATCAGATAATATATAATCGAGTTAGTTTCATATAATTATTTGAGCAAGGCTCTGATTGATAGAACACACATACACTTATGATTATCACTCCAATTAGCATTATATACATATATGTGCATTTTTATGATCTGATGATATAAAATTGAATTAGTTTTATATATTTGTATGACTAAAACATTGATTGCTAGGCAGGTCAGCATACACGAAAATACTCTAACAATTGTATAACATAAATTAGATTTTATGCACTGGAACCAAATGTATTTGACATCAAATAAATGCGATAACACTTGATGCTGATAAATATATGATAATCCATTATATGATCTGATATCTTCTTGCAATTATAATAACATCTCCAACAAAACATTTGCCTGGATTGTAGTCGTATCTTTTATTTATTACATATTCATTTTTATATAAACATATGCATGTATTTAAGTATTATGAATGGTTGGTCTCTCTCAATAATATAGTTTTATACGTGCTTTGTTTACAAAGACGTTGAGAAAGCTAAAAGCTAAGCTTGACTTAATTTAAGTGAATAAAAGTCTTTAATTACTAAATTGCTTTTAAATTATGTACTATGAACGGGAGACCGTTGCTTCAGTGATAAACAACAGTTATCGATGTCTCACATATTTATAGTGTTGGTTAATGATAGGTGGAGCGATGAAATCGAATATGGAATAACTTATGTAACTTTATTCTATTATTTGTGAATAGTTTTTATATTATATTTATTTATTTTATATAATATCTTCCATTTCCATTCCATTTAATAAAATATATTGCTGAAGGAGTTAAAAGAAATTCTCCAATCTCAGATTAAATGATCAATAAATAATATCTGATAACAGAAAATTTTTTTTTATTAGAAATTTTTTTTTATGAGGGAGCTCTGATTTATTCCTTATATTATAGTTTAGCTTTATTTTCGATCAATTTATATAGAGAAAAGTTTCATTGACTTGAAAGAGATTTTTATTACAAATTTCCCACACTCCCCTTTGACTAGACAGACATCCATTTGCACTTTTATGGGCCTCTTCATGGTAATCCATCTAAGAGCAATCAATTCTTGTTTTTCTTCCGCTTGAATCTGTGCAGCGGTGGTGCAGTGCGCCCGCTGTGTAACATTGGCCAGTGGCCACACCTTGCAGTTCAATTTATTTGATATTTAACAGCCAAATACACATGCCAAGCGCTCCTCTGGCCAGTTGCCTGAAATGCCAGCCAACTGTGACCAAGCCTCGTCTCATTAGCAATATGGAGCAGGCCAAACCAGTGAGCGACCAGCAGACCAACTGACCGTCCAGTTGTCCAGCTGTCCAGCTGTCCAGCCGTCCGGCCGACCACACGATCTGTTTGGCCAAGTGTCGCTTTGCTCGCTAATTGCCACGTAAATTTGCAACCATTTTTGGCAGCTCATTAAATTTATTATTAAAACAAAACGCTAACCGAAGTTAATTGCCATCAAATTGACATGCGAGACGACAGCACCCGCCGTAGAGCCAGCCGGCTCTAGCTTCGCTGAGACTCGGGCCTGGCTCATGCGTATTAATTGCCATGGAGACTTCATAATTTCATGTGGAAAAATGTGAACGTTAGGCGTGCACAACAACAACAGCGGCAACAGCAACAACAACAGCAGCAACAACAACAACAAGAGCAAACCGAAACTGTAATTTAAGCGCAAGTCTTTAAAACTCTGCGCAGTGCATGGGGGTCTCAGCGAGAGCTGGAGGCTCTGTCCAGTTGTTGGTTTATTTATGGCACGGCAAAGTTTGATTGAAATGTGTTGTCTGTGAAATTGACAACTGGGTGAGATTTGCACGGCTGTTGCAGTTAGCATAGAAGAGGGGGCAGGCCGGGGAGGAGGAGGGGGCTTGCCTGTTGGTTAGTAGCCCAATCCCCCTTTCCAATTAAGCATGAATCATGGCTTAACTGTCAAGAGTTGCGCAATTTTCTAGAGCATTGATTAATAAGCCGCCCGCACATGGGCATAACCTGAGGGTCCGGCATTAACCCCCTAACATAACCTCAGGCGGGCATACGCATGCGCGACAACAATTACCGTTAGCATGCGGACCAAGACTCTGCACTTATTATTATTATTGCTGTGATTGTTGTTGCTGCTGCTATTGTAGTTGTTGTTGTTGTCAACACGCTCGTAACTTGCAATCAAGTTAAGATGACAGCGGAAATGAAGCATTGACGCCTCGCACGTACCACAGAGGACACACAACACCAGATACAAGTTGCATCTAGCATCTGGACAGTGGGCAGGCAAGCTGGCAGCCTGGCAACCTGGCAACCTGGCAAACCATGGCAATCCATGGCAGCCGCGCCGCCTCACCTGGGAAAAAGCTGTGTTGTGTTGGGCAATCAGGTTTGCTGCACTCGCCGGCGAGTGGGTACCAAATTAGACACATTTTATTATTAAAATCCACTTGTGTTGAAATAAAACACGACTTTCTGTGTCGCACATAATGAAAATATATGGCAAGTTAATACCTGAATTTATTTATCACCTGAACGCAGGCCAGGCCAGGCCATGTCGCTTCCCAGGCAGCCAGCCGAAGTGCCACTCCGATCCGAGTCTACAAGTTTCATTAGACTACAACTGCGCGGCGTCAAAGGGCAATGCTTAGTTTGTAAATAATTAGATGTGGACATGATTGCCCATACGAAATTCGAAGATGTTGCTAGAAAACTTGAAGCATCTATTACATGAAAAAGCAAATGATCAAAGCTGGCAAAGCTTTGCTATAGATTAAAGATATAATTAATATGGGAGTACTTGAAGAACTTATACTTGAACTGGATGGTGGAGGGGGATATCATGGAAAGACTATCTACATGCATATGATAAAGAGAAGGATAGCACGTACTGAGTATACTTCCTCTATTCTATCGTTATTATATCGAGATGTAGTAGAGGAGGTTATCATCTATCGACTATGAACGAGTATACTAAATCAGCAAGATCATAATAACGAGATATAGATAAAAGTAGATAAAGATTATCTTTCGAATCTTGGGAAAAACATCATATATCCACTCTATCTCGAGCTAGGTTACAGCAGGATTTGATCAAGCCATATGTGTATACTATTGAGCCATTCATTCTACTTAAAAAAGAAATGGGAACATTATCTATTGCAATGCCTAAACCGTGAGAATATCACTTATAACCAAAACAACTTGAGAGTGAGAGAGACAGAGAGAGAAAAAGAGAGAGAGTAAGAGGGGAAATGGGAGATCATTTATCAAATCCAAGTGTAGAATGACTTTACAGTTTAAAAAATTTGAGTTAATTCCAATTCACATTAATTTTTTTAGTTTTATCAAGACTCTATAATACATTTTTTTATTTATCTTAATTATTTCCCCAATTGCCTGCACATCAATTTGGGGCATTCTCCCACACTTTCACGCCGTTCAGCTAGCCCTTTTCGAACTCGACTTGGCAACAGCTAGGGGCTAGCTATGGCAAACTCAAGCGCATTGGCGAGATCAACGAACGTTGACATCAAGGATTTTGTCATAGCACGCTGATCACTGATCGCTTTCATTCAAGTCTCGTCTACGCTCTGTGCATATCAATTCTTCTCTTCGGCTCTACACGATGCTAATTGGCAGCATCTTCCTTTCTTTTTCTTTTTTTGCTCGGGCAGCCAAAAATTTGTAATGTTAATTGCTCTCTTGGGCGAACTCAGTGATCTCTGAGGGCGATTTGCATGCGAAAGATCGTGTCAGGTATATTTCGATTTCGACTGACGATTTCTACAATACCTATTGGAGCGATATGTGCTTCTCTTTTTTTTCGGCGGCATCTCTCAGCGAGTTCGTTGTCTCATTCATTGGCGTCGTCTGAGTGTCTGGCATGGCGACTGCGACTGCGACTGCGGCAGCGACAGCGGCAGAGGCTGCTGCGTTATGCCATAGTTGATGGTCGGCAGTGCCTGATCAACGGCACAGAAGGCAGAATGAGAAAGAGAGAAAGAGAGAGAGAGAAAGAGAAAGAGAGATCGAGAGAGTTCAAAGACACAACGGTACATTCAACCTGGACAACCGACAAGGCCACATTGACCACGATATTGTCCACACACCCACGTGGAGCAAGTCAATAACCTAAGCGCTGAATGAGGGTTGATTGAACCTGAGGCAAAAATTCTGAAGCAGATGCTCAGGCTCAGACTCTGACGCTGCCGCTGACGCTGACGCCGACTCTGCCGACTCTTGACTGGGGGCTGCATGGCTCTGGCTCTGGTTGGTTGGTTGGTTGGCTTGCTGCCTGCCCCAACAAACGGCAAATTGCAACCGA